TGACAAATTACTTATGCCTTCCCATAATACATAATTTATTTTTTTTAATATTGTGATTCTAATTTGAATAAACATTGAAATGTAGAATTTTTCAAAACAGTTTTAATTAAACTGTTAGATTTTTGATGTAATAACTTATTGAAAAGAAAATTTTTCTGCATAATTTGTCTAAAATTAATACTTCTTTCTTCAATAATTTTATGTAAAGATTAATTTGTTAAATTATAAAATAGTTCACACAAAATACATTGCTAAATGACAGCTAATGCGCAGTAGAAGCTCGCAATAGACCGAGAGCACTAACTCACTCACACTCGCTCAGACATATGTTCCTCGCTCTCGCACTTACGGAAGACTTTCTGTGTGAACCATCTTTTCACTCAATGACTGATGTATATAACACATAAAAAAAAGTATTGTTCAGAAACCGAAGAGCCTACCGTCTGTACGTTTACATTTGGAAAAGCATTTAACGAGAAAAATTTGTCCTAAGTAACTAAATTTGTCTTCTAAGTAACTAAATACCTATAAAATGTAAACATGAACATATCTATTCGTAACTTCATCGAGGATATGTTCCTTCCTTTCGCACTTACGGAAGACTTTCAGTGTGCCTGGCCAGGTAAAAGCACCATCGAAACTGCCTGGCTACTGAGTAAATATAATTTAATACTTTCCTCAGTAACATACATAAAAATCAGCTTATATATGTACTATAACGAAGGTACAAATAAATTTACTTATAATTTAGGGGTGCCTGGCTGGGTTTCCCACCTTACTAAGTGCCCGGCAATTTACAGCGTAATTTTTAATATTATTACGATGAAAATATATCAAAACTGAATTTTGTACTAAGAGGAAAGTGAAAGAAAATTTTATACACCTTTAGAACGTGTTACCTGCCAAAGCCACCGCAACCCAAATTTCATAGTTGGGGATCGTGACTACCTATATTGGGTACATCTATAGAAAAACTTTCAGCTTTTGTAAATCAACGAATGCCTGGCTGGCCCTGGCTCTTGGACTATAATAGTGACAGAAGTTTAAAGAATCAATTAGAGGTTTACGTATTAGAACATAGATGGAGTAGTTCCAAAAACACCTAAAATGACATAAAAATCATTGAAGCCTATGACATTATATTGAAAAAAGTAACTTGATTTTAGTACATAATACTCAAGAGAGAGACCTTTTTGTTTTATATCAAATAGAATTAGCTGATGTTTAATTATATTTTATGAAAAGTCTAAAATATATCTTTTATTAAGGCAAATAACATTAAGTAAAATTTTGTTATAATTATGTAATATTTTTTTAATATTTCAATAAAAAGAATATTTAGTTTTAAACCTGGGAATGTTGACTACTCATGTAATGCTTGATGCCATTTCAATCTTTCTTATATCTTTCAAATCAGTAAACAGAAATATTCTGCCAAAAGAAAATTTATTTTATGAGCTTATCCCTTTGATATTTATAAAATAAAAGAAATCTTTTAATATGAACCCTACTGGTCTTATATTAAAAAAATGTTAATAATATAAAAAGGATTTATTCTCCATTTAGTTTATTGGTTATAGTTTAAGGATACTTAAATTTAAGTGAACATAAATAAAATAAAATCATATATCTGTCTCAAAAAGAATAATGCTGCAACTTATTGATGAGATCAACCTGAAGTAGTATTTTTTGATGTGAAAGTAATAGGATGATGACAAAGCGGGGTGAAGTACTATGTGTTGAAGGGACTTAGGAAGTATTATCAATTTTTTGAAATAACTAACAAAATTTTGTTTTTTTAATGCATGAAACTTTTTATACAAAATATAAATCTTTAGCAATATATTGCTTTTTATTGAGTATTATTAATATTTTTCTTCTCCTTTCATATTTTTTTAACTCTCAATCAGCCTTATGTGCTGGCGTAATAAAATTATTAAATATGGTGTGTTCTTAATTTTTCTGTATTATGTATATCTGGGATATGTTTTTTAAAAAAAATTAATGTATGCCTATTAAAGAGCTCTTTGTCTACCAATAATATTTTTCCATTATCCCTATTTTTAATTAATAACTGCTTAGTTTGATTATGCTGATAACTGTCAATGAATATTGTTTATTGGTTGGTTCTTTAAAATAAAATTGTGGCATGAAAGCATTTCATCCATGCAAAGATTCGCACAGTATATTCTGCATATGTCATGTTGAATGGAGGAGACATGATCCGGGAGTAACTTTTAAATGAAATAAAATATTGTTATGATTTGTACTATCAGTCAATCTGTTATTGTATATTTATTTATTTATATTTATATGTTCTTTATTGCACACCAATATAGACAAAAATAATAGGAGTATAACAAAACAAAGAAAAGAAAAATGTTCAATGGGCAAAAGAAAAATGTACAATATTGCATATTATGTCATTGAATGAATATAGTTACAATTTGTATTTAGATTTAATCAATGCGTGATTATTTTTTTCTTACACTACTAGAAGAATGTTATATTTGTTATAAATATAAACATATTATTTACAAATATATATATATTTTAAATAATCTCTTGTGTAATGGAAACAGTGAACCTCCATATCATAATACCATTGACTTTCTAAACGTATTTAGACACCACTGACAGATGGTGAAGGAAAACATCTAGAGGAAACATGGACTTATAATTACACAATTATAAGTTTGAAATCACCAACCCGACTTGAGCAAGTTTGGTGATTAATGCTCAAGCCTTCTCCATGTAAGAAGAGGCATTTACTCAGCAGTGGACTCTGATAGGCTGATGACGACAGGAACGACAACTGGATTTTCATATAATGACCATTTCCTTTGAATAGTGATTAATCCCAACATGAATTATTAATAAAAAAGGTTTAGCATCATATGTAAGATACTGATGGGTCCTATGCATTAGGACCAATGTAGCAATTTAGCAATTTTTATTTGTTTTTAATACTTTATAATACTATTTTCTACGACATTCTTTTAAAAGTGTTTTTGTTGGTAGAAAGACTTTGTTTTTATTGGAGCAAGAAAAACCATAAGTAACGCTTTTAACATATATGGCCTTATATAATGTATATCATAAAAAAATATATTTAAATAAAAAACTAGTTGTTTTACAAAGATGTTGATCAAGCTTATATAATGTACATGTATGTCATAGTCGCTATGCAAAGTTTCAAAAGCATCAGTTGTCGCTTGTTGCATGTAATATATACATTGAAATCAAACTTAAAACGCCTCTACTTATAAATTATCATTTGCACATTGGCCCCTATATATAGGAGCCATCAATATATTGATAATCAAATAAAGGTTTTATAAATTAAAAAGAAAACAAAGATCACTATTAAACTCCAATTACCTAGGTGGTTGAAAATCATACTACTATTGATTAAGAGTTAAGTTTAATTAATTTGAAATGAAACTTTTATGTAAGGATGGGTATGAAAACATTTTAAAGAAATTAAAATATAATTGAATTTACTAATCCTATAGGTCGGTTAAAGAAATGAATTTTATGATAGTTAATCCAAAACTATAGCAAACTTTCAGATTTATTTAAAAATAAATTATTACTGTAACATATGCAAAAAATTCAAATTCAAAACATATTACAGTTTAATAGATATTACAATTGCAATGCGATTAAAATCGGCTTTAATCAAACAGCCTCATAATTACAACAAAATGACTAGTCCTTCAATAGGTTCAGGCTTTTAGAAGACCACACAAAGCATTAAAAGAACAACGTATTAAGATTGTGTATAAATAAAGGCTTTTTCATAAATAGACTTAATAAGACTTAATTTTCTTTCACTGTAATATGTTTATTTTTTTTTTGTATCAATTTCATGTTGGTGGCATTGATTTAACAACGTAATGCCTACTTTTGTATCATTTTACCAGTCGTTTCTGATGACACCTTACAATGTTGCCTTCATTATTGAAAGTATTTTTTAATAAGATTTTCACACTATTTATTCATTTTTATTTCTTACATGCACTACTTATTCAAACATTCCCTATTTATTAATTTAAATTTATTACATACATTTATTTTAATTAAGTACATACTTTTAAATTTAAAAATGTGTTTTTGAAACTTCATAATCCTTTTTATAATATTGAATTCTATAATTGTACTTCAATAAAAACATTCTTATACAATTCGGTGTCTGATGTATTGCTTTATTGATCTTATAATATTTTTTTATTGTTATGAGTCAATCAGGTATGAGTTCAAGTATGTTTAGGATCTATGAAAAAGTAAAGTTGTGGAATAGAGTGATGACATTTATTATTTTTAAATTACATATTAACTATAAAATATTAATAATTTTAATTACTATAACATCTACATTTCACTGAAATATGTTACTTCCAGTTTTAGTTTAAAGATTTTTTAATAAAATTCCTTATTGTTATATGAATTATCTGTTGTTATTTTTAATCTATTGCATGAAACTTTTGACGTCTGTCAAATCCATTTCGTTACTGAGAGTCACGCTTGACCATAAAATTGTCGATTGTCGAGACACACCGACGTAGGTTGCCGTCTTGGAGCTCTCCCTCAAGTTTAGAATTTCACGAACTGCTTTAGCGAGATTCGTTTTATCTATACTCTGTGACTGTGTCAGGTTCCGATGCGGCCATGTTAATATTATTGACGTGGGGACTGTAATTTTATTTTCGAACTTTCTATTTTGTATTTTATTTTTGTAGTGGCACGTTATTTTGTTTTAAAACAAACTTTTCTCGTCCTCCAAATTGTTTTTTTTACTTCAGATAATAATTCTTAATTCATGTGTTTGTATTTTGTATACGATGCCACTACTGCAAAACTCTGTTGATTTATGTCTGGTAAATTAATAAAAACAAAATAAGTATTATTTCGTAATTAATTGCTGCAGTTTACGTACCGATTCTCGCATGTTGTAATTACTTTAACAAAAATAATTAAATGTTGTTGCGGTGTTAAAAATGGAACTTGTGTTTGTATTGAGTTTTGTTTCTTTTGGATTAGCTTATGATAAAGGCGAGTATTAAAGTTTGTTAGTTTATTATATTTTTAAAATAATAGAGAGTGAAAACTTTTTTAAATTATTTTTTTTAATGCCAAACAAACTTTTAATGTAGTTGTTTATTTTTAGCGTCCTTCTACGGTGCTAGCTATATATCGTATCCACTTCAAGAAGCAAAAGGTATTACCGATATAAGTTTTAGATTTCGTACCCATCTCTCTGACGCTCTTTTGCTTCTGGCTGCTGGTAAAACCGATTACTGCATGGTGAGTACATGTGTTAAAAATATAAAAAAAAAAATTATAGCCAATAAAATTTAAATTTCGAACGTCCGAATATATATATGTCTTATCGAAACCAAAAATTTTTTAGATCCGCTTGGAAGGTGGCAAGTTAAAGTTGCATATTAACCTTGGGGCCGGTGAGAGTGAACTTTCTTCAGCAAAAGGTACTTACCTTAATGACACTCAATATCATCATGTGAGCATCATTAGAAGAGAAGCAAACCTTACAATGAAGGTATGTTAAATTATTTAAATGTATTTGATGATGTATTCATCAATTCCAATTAACATATCCAACATCTTACCGAACCTTTAATCTTAAAGACATTTGCTTGTGGACAATTTATTGTAAAGAAAAGTTTGTATATCGAAATATTCTGTTATAAAACAATTTTTATTTTAAACTATAAATGGCTTAAATTTAATTATTTTAATTAAAAAGTATAAACTTGGAATAAAATACTTTTTTGGGTAATTTGGATTTTTTTTTTCAAAACCTTAATCAGAATATGTTTATATCATTTCAAGAATGAGATTATGAAAATATAATGTAGTATTTGATGGAAAAAAAAATCATTAAAAAAATATAAATTCCCATATCAATCATATCTGGAAAGTCCAAAGAATTTTATGACTTACCTTTTAAATGTTTTACAAGAACAAGTAGTAAATTAAGCAAACTACAAACAGTTTTAAAAACATATTTTTATTAAAATAATATTGGTACAATACATATAAAAGACCATGTAAATTTTAATAATAGAATATTAAAATCGTCTTTATAATAAAAGCTAGTAATGTTTGTTTGGTTCCATATACATATATATCATTTAAGTTCCAAAGATAAAGAGACAGGCTCAAGTTACATCAAAGAACATCAAACGATAAACTTTCATCTCATCCACTTAACAACTGTTATTTGCAAATCGTAGCGGCATCACATCGCCTAGCGCGTAATAGTTGTTCAGTAAATAACGTCAAAGTTGATACAGTAACTTTGGTTATAACTAAAAACGGTAGCGGATTTTATCATGAACGTTATAAATCTTAATACGCAATTTTTTTGGAGGAAACAATTCTAGTTTTGTTAATTTTTAGGTGGACGACAGCGTTGTTAAGAAAAAACTGCCGGGTAGATTTTTCGAGCTGAACATCCATTTCGGTATCTTTTTGGGTGGGCAAGGAGATTTCTCGGAACTATTTCTCGGTCATATGGAAAATTTCCGCGGCTGCATGGAAGATGTTCGTATTAAAAATAAAATATCCCTACATAAACTATGTACGTCTATTTGAGATCGATTCACGTTTAATAGGTGTACTACAATGGAGTCAAGATAATAGAAAAGGCTCGTAGCCGCAGCGGTTCCGTTCACGTCGAAGGTGTAACTTGGAATTGCGCGTTGGAGTTCGATGCCGACATTAGTTCCGACATAAGTTTCATTGACGAAGGGGCATATTTGATTCTACCGAAGATAAACTCTAGAGCCGGCGGCAGGTGTGTCTTTGGTCCTATTAAAGACAAATTATCGTAGATTTAATAGGATAATTCCTATACTAAAACTGCTTTTCTTTATCAGGTGGCAGATAGAGTTTAAAACAATAACACCGAACGCAGTAATACTATACAATCCGGGTGGAGGTCGTGGCTCAGATTTCTTGGCTGTGGAGATGCTAGAAGGAGTGGTCAGGGTGAAAATGGCTAAGAGTCAAATCGTCCACACGGCGAGGGTCAACGACGGACAATGGCACAAAATGCATCTGATGTTCAACCCGTCGGTCATCGAGGTAAGTGATAAAATATTCACGAGCAAAACAGCAGCACTTTTATCAAACAAAAAATATTGCGATGCTTATTATTTATATTTTATATTATGAATTTTGCGGTGAAATTAATTCCCAATACGAATTCATTGATTCCGATATTACGGATTATTCGTATCACAGGAACGGCGAACTGCATTTCATATTTTCCCTCTCAATAAATATGTAAAAAGTTATTTATTTTTTGCTTTGCGAATACAGTTGGGCTGACGATTCCAGGTGATTAACTTATCGTGCTTCAACAGCTTATATGAAACTGAAATAATGTTTTTTGAAGTTAAAACTCAAATGAACACAACCCTTTTTACTGACCTGTACTTGATCGCGTTCGTGTTTTTTTTTATTTGTTTCAATATATTTTTTTTTTGGATGCTTTTTAAGAAGATTTAATTTCGCTTCATTTGGTGGGTAGTCGAAATGCATAACGTGGATGTACCAAAAACAGTCTAAGATATATACGACAAACAATTTTTTTATCTTGTTGTCATCATTAGGAAATTTGTAAAATGTCCAATAAATTAAGCATGATTTTTTTCTATGAAAAATAAAATATATGATACGTTAAAACCAATACACGTATTATATAACATAACAGAATAAACAAAGTAAATATGTTCCGCCTCAACTTCTGAACGGGTATGATAGCGATGTCTTACTTGAAAAGTAAATAAAACTTTACATAGCTATTCCCCCGGGGCAAAGTACGTGACGCTATCACAGAGACGACATGACATTTAATTGCGAGATGCATATTTGATAAATGTATCTTACATTACATTTAATCCAGTCTGCTATTGACCTTATTTTTATTCAGGTCGCGAATTGAAAGGCTTTAATATCTTTGATTAAACTGTCTGATGCAGAGCTCGCTGCGCTAACATTACTATGTCATATTTCGTAACTTTGTTGTACTAATATCGGTTACTTTTAATGTCTAGCCCATGCGATATGAACATTCTCACCTGAGACACTGATAGAAGATTTATCAACAGAAGCAATTTCGATATAATTTCACATTTCCCAGTAATATCAATATAATTTATTATGTGAAAAATAGACATATATTTTCAGTGTAGAATATTCTAAAGAAATAATCTTATCCATAAGTTTTTCATAATTTGATATGGGAATAGCTTTGAGTTGATCTTTCAAAGTAAGGCCATTAAAATTGCACTCAGCGATAAACTTATAATAATGTGAGCACACGTGTTATATCTACCACGTTAAAGAGAAATTTTATAAATACTATGGAAAAGATAATTCCGTATAAAAAAAATAAAGCAATTCAAGTAATTTTATTCGATACTTTTTTTCGACGTTCTTATTGATAGACCAAAAAAAATCTTAAATTAATATATATTTTTAACTCTAATATGAAAATCTCATTGTTTCCGACAAATGCATATGACAGATAGTTTGTGGAAAAATTACATGCACCCACACACCATTGTACGGTGACTAGCTATGTCTATAAATCATTGCATACTTTTATTTATATTATAATATTAGTATAATATAAATGTATTAAAGTAGATTTTTCATAGTATTCCTGATACCTAACAGCGGTACATATAGCTCTCTAGGACTAAGTAAGCACGATGGCTTAATCCGCAAAGCGACGGAAAGGCTATCAGATTCGAATTCTGAACATGTTAATATATTTGTCAGTTTATTATAATATAAAAATTAAAATTTTAATTAAAATCTCACAATAACATGATTTTATTTTAAATGCATGGTAATAATTGCATTCATGCATTTTTTAAATAAGCTTTCCCGTGACTGGAAATCGAATGCATTTAAAATGACAAAAACAGACGTCGAGGATTTAAATTAGCCTATCAATAATGTTGGTTATAGAGATCGAATGTATAGAAAAAAATATATAAAAAAGAAAAGTTAGGAAAATCAAGTATTTGTATCTATTACGCTAATTTTTTTCATATTATCAAATTTGGTCGTCTTAATATAAAAGCTAAAATTCCATTCTAATATCTGAATTTAATATAGTCGTTTAATACTTAATTTTGCCTTCTTAAACTAGATTTTGTTCACGACTTCGTCTGTATGTTTACCTATATCTGAATAAGCAAAACAGAAATGTAGGTATAAATTGTATTAAAATAATAAATGTGGCAAACAATCCCGAGCGAAACCTATATTATGCGCAACGTAACTTGTCTTCATACAGAATAGAAATGGTATGTCTTGATTCCGGGTAAATACATTTAATTTCGTTATAAATTATATCCTTTCTTATTCTAATGTCTAAACTATGCTATGATGTCTCATCAAAATCCGTTTTAAATTTGCGTGAAATTGCAACGAACATCAAATAAATTCATTCATCTTTAAAATCCCTCTCGTTTGTGATACAAGTCGGATATTAATAGGTTTCATTCAAATTAAATATTATTGGATGTTTTACAAAACGTCAGTCATCATTTCTGTTGGCAGTAAGACGTCTAATTGGACGATTTCCTTTGACGGAAAGCTGCCTCCGAACATTCCATCGAAAAGATTTAAGTTCACATTGTGACTTTTGAACTTTAGAGTTTTCCTTTGATTTGAAAATGCATTGTTGTTATATACTCGCATTGTGGCTTTCGAACTATACAGCTTTTCCCTGATTTTAAGATGCAATGTTGTTGTATGATCGTATTGTGGTTTTTGAAGTATAAGCTTTTCTTTGAAGTTAGTGCTGATTTTAAACCCTATTAACGTTAGATAAGTGGAAGCGAATCTAACATGCAGATAGTTCAAAACTGCTAATTAGTAATCGTACTAATACTACAGGAATTCTAAGAACATTGTTTATGCACGAATTTAATTTTAGTAGAAGTTCTACGTATACATTATTCGCTAGGTTTCAATCGGTTAAAATGATTATAGGTTTTTATTTATTTTATATTTGAGTTATTTTATTAAAAGTTTTGTAAATAAAACAAAACATAATAAACTGTTAAAAAAATTAAGCTCAGCTTATAGCAGTTTAAAGCCGCCGATAGATTTATAAACTCGATCTTTCTTAGCATTTTCAACTTCAATATAAAATTTTTCTTTTGGATCCTTAAACCGTGGCCGGTTTTATCTTTTTTTTTGTTAGTTCAATACCCGCCGCTTGTAGTTACTAAATAATCTAGATATTTTCCAATGAATACAGTAAGTTTAATTTTGCAAAATATTCTTCATTAATATGATCATCGTCATTGATAGTTTATGAAACTTTTTAATTCAACATTCCACAGTCGATGGTAGTTTTATTGAAATTACATTTTCAATATAAAACTAATTGAACGGTATCTTGTCATTGTAAGGTTCTTATAAAATGTTTTATATCAAAAGCCATGGCTTTTCTATTTTAATTTGATTTCGAGATACCGAGCATTGATAGAACTTTTTCCATCTATTCTATTTGTTGTTGTGAAGTTCCTACGGTTGAACTAGATTTTTCAGGACCTTTTTAATTTCGAATTGAAATGTTTTTTCTAAAGATTTTATTAGAAAACCATCTTAGTGCATTCGATTCTTAGGCATTATAAGTGGTTTTATTTAACAACTTATTTTTGTTAGTAATATTATCATTATATTTTTATAGTATCTAAGGTATATTTTTCGTGTGGTTCATTCATTTGTTCCACCCTGTATGCAACTATAGCCCTCAATTAAAACATAGCTGCTGTAAATTTTTATCGGATACCGGATCGCGTCAAATTTTAAAATATATTTTCACACTGCAACCTACATCGTATGAACTCTCGTTTCCCACGTTTAAAAGAAGTATTGTTTTGTTGTAAAACAAAAAGCCGTCTAACTTCTGATAGGCCGATAATGTCATGCTTTATGCAGTTCAGAGAGTGCATTAGTTCAAGTGAGCGATTGTTAGTTGTTGTGAAGTTACGTCGTATGTTGCATTGTGGTATCATCATTGTTTTCAGAAATAATTGGGGAATAATTTTCCTGTTTAGTTTAATTTTTAATAGTTCGAGCAATTGCTGTAAAAGATTATGTTATAAATGGTGATTTTTTTTAAATTAAAATTAATAAAAATTAAAACGATACAGTACTACTTTAGTGGGACTCAATATCCTGGCAACTGTAGGTTTTTATAACATTGATGTCAATGAATGCTTGGCCCCAAACTGAGTATTTATTTCTATAAAAATATAAACGAAATCAATTTCACAAAGCCGTTGTTTAACAAAGACGAAGAACTGAAAGCGCTGAAGAATTTTTCTATTCATTGTCCAGTTGACATTTTCCCTTCAATTTTTTATTTAAAAGGATGATGTCATCGTATTTAAATTTTTATACCGATTTCTATGCTTTATTGACTTGGATGAAGATTTAGTTTTTTTTTTGCAATTGTCTAACAAGTTGTGCTGTTTTATAATGTTTTACTTCTTAAAATTAAGTTAAATTCAATCTGGCGTTACTATAAGTATTGATAACGATGTTCTCAAATAACCTCAACTAAATATTTTGCTCCGTTAACCAACATAATTGTTAGCGATACTTATAAGAACATAGTGTTTGTATGAAGACGTTTAGTTTAATAATGTATCAGAGTACACGATGTTAGCACAAAACAAATCCTTGTACACACTATGACGTCCTGGCATACACACATATTTGTGGTAACACTGCATGTAAAATATATTAGCATTACAAAAAATTCTTAGACATATTTTGCTTATTCTATAATTATTTCATATATTTTATACATAGATACGCAGCTCATAAAATGTACCGATATATCTGCTTAAGTAGCCTATTATTACATATGAAAATAATAATTGTGGTTTCAATATTAAATAAAAACGATGTTTAAACTCTGAATAAAAAACGACAGTTGTTGGAATTTCGACCGCTAGATAAATCCATTGCGGTGAAATTGTGATGACTATGTACATAGTAGTTATGAAAATAAATATTATATTGTTTCATATTGATTTCAGTTAAAT